TTGAGCTGATCTTTGAAATTTTCTGTTCAGCTCTTGGACCTCCTCATTTCTTCCATTTGCTTTAGCATCTCTACGCTGGAGAGCAAATTTCAGTGCCTCTTCTGATATCCATTTTGATCTTTTCCTTCTTTCTTGTCTTCTCAAAGGCTCTTTGCTTTCTTCTTATATGATGTCCTTAATGTGATCCCACAACTCTTCCAGTCTTTAGTCTTAGTGTTTAATGTATCAAATATGTTCTTCAGATGATCTCTAAATTCAAGTGGAATATATTCAAGGTCAACTAGAGGAAGATTTTTTTTTTTAATTAGTTTTTTGATAAAGGAAACAAGGGTAAATTGCTACAATTTGATGAACTTGACCTATACTCATGGAGGTAACTCTAAATTTAGTAACTCTAAATACCAACAGAGAGGGAAGGAGTCTTCACATCAATTATCAATGCTATCTTCTCTGTATACAGGGGAGATAGGGATGGGCAACTTAGATATTGGTTACCTAAAATGAGGGGGCGATAAAGCATGAAGTGACTGGCTTAAAAGGTTTCAAGAGGGAGTTTAGTTTAAGAGTGTGTGTGTGGTGGTGGTGGGGGGGTGGGGGAGAAAGAGTCCCCACTGAATAGTTTTCACCTTGTCTAGATGGGTCTGGTTACAAGATATGGGCATAAGATTCTTATGATTCAATAATGAGTAATAGTTATCAGGACTAATTGCGACTATCACAATTATAAAAGTAGAAGTTTGGTATAAAAAACAGGGAAGTAGTTAAACTTACAGTCCAGAAACAAAGGACCCTAGGACCACAAAGGGAGAAAAGCACAAATGGAATGAGAGGACCTTATCCAGAGAAGCAGCGACACCAGAGATGGAGGCAGAGATGGGGACATGGAGAGAGGGAGCAGCTGAGGATTCTAGATTCATGGAAAGAGAAGAACTAAGAGCTGGAAGCAAGGAGGCAGACTTGCAGAATGTACCCTTTCATGGTGTAAATTAGTATATATGCCTGAGTGTTTAAAAAACAGGAACTAAAGTGAACAGAGAAAAACAACAACACATGTTTAAAGTAAATTTAAATCTGAAAGCAATACTCCTAGGGGAGATAAAAAAGAACTACTGTTTTGCTATCCTTATAAATTCTGCTTTAATGCAAGTGAATACTGCATATGCCATTCAGTTTATCAACTTTCTTTCCATAGAGTTTCCAATGCTTAGTTTTTCTAGAGAATAGGAGTAGTGACTGAAGATGGGCCACAGGAATTCTCATGAGCTCTTCCTGTTTCACACACAAAAAAAGAATTATTACTCCAATGACCACTTTGTTCCTTAATCACGTATAATCTAGTTTTCAAGTATTAAAAGCTCTGCTTTTAGCAAAAGAAATTAAATGATTCACAATCTTACATGTCTAATATTATTTAGTTATATTAACTTCTTTAAGGACAGAGACACCTTAAAAAATATTAAATTACAAGTATTTTACAAACATCGTCTTTACAGTGGTTGCTACTGAATACCACCACATAGAATCCTCAAGGCCTGGAGTCCTATCAAATACTTTCTAATCCCTTCTCTAAGAACCAGCAGCCTTGACCACAAAGCCAGCCTTGGGAACCAAAAATTTAAGTTGTTAAGGCTGAAATTGGGTATTTTTTAACTGATATTTTTTGGTCTCTAAATCAAAACCAATCACTACAAGCCAGTGGTATGATTAAAAGAGACAATTTGAATATATTTATATAGAAATTCCTAAAGTTAAAGTGGAATTGCGGCTTACTGGTTTCTTCATCTTGATAAATGAATGAATACAGTTATCTGAGACAAGTTTATAAGCAGAGTGGTGCGCTGGATTTCCAAAAACTATAATTATTTTAAAAATGAATTCTTTCTAACATTGGGTACGACAACAATGTTGTTGTTGGTAAGTGCCGTGGAGCCGATTCTGACCTGTAGCGACCCTGTATACGGTTTACAAGCAGCAGCTAAAGGGTTTGAATCACCAACCTTGCAGTTCAAACTGACCTTGAGTCCAGCATATTATCCTGCAGCACCACAGCAGGACTCCATATAGTTGTTGTTGTTAAGTTCTGACCCATAGCGACCCTGATTAGGGTTTCTAAGGCACTGTGGTGAGCTTGAACCACAGACCTTGCAGTTCAAACCACTTTGCAGTCCAGCGTATTAGTCCATAGCTCCAGTGTGCCCAAATTGACTTTCTGACCATTCTTTTATAGGGAACCGGGGGGTGGGGGGCTTCTTTATCATTAAAAGAAAATAGTTGTGCTTTTAGGTTGTATTTTTCCTGCTTTGAAAGTGTCATTTTGAAATCTAGTTTGATTGGATTAAGTTATCATATAAAATCCAAACCTGTTGTTGTCAAGTCAAGTCTGATCAAACCCTCCCATATAGGACAGATAACTGCTCCATAGGCTGTAATCTGTATGAAAGCAGACTGCCTCAACTTTCTCCCCTGTAGAGCTGCTGGTGGGTTCAAACCACCAACCTTTAAGGTAACAGTCCAACACTTAACCCACGGAGTCACCAGAGTTTCTAAGTTATCAATGGTGGTGGTGGTGCTTGTGTGCCACCAAGTCGGTTCCAACTCACAGTGACCCCTATAGGGTTTCCGAGGTTGTAAATCTTTGTGGTTGTTAAGTGCCGTCGAGTGGATTCCGTATAGGGTTTCCAAGGAGTAGCTGGTGAGCTTGAACTACCTACCTTGCAGTTCAAATGACTTTGCAGTCTGACGCATTAGCCCACAGCTTCACACTAGGACAGGATTAGAAATCCGTATCTTTTCCCTGTCCAGCTACTGGTAGATTGAATCTGCTGACTTGTAGTTAGTAGTCTAGCTCATACTCCACTAGGCTGCCAGGGTTCCTTAAATTACCATACAATGTTATTGCTGAGTGTCGTCTAGTTGATTCTGACTCGTAGCGACCCTGTACAGGGTTTCCGAGGAGTGACTGGTGAATTTGAACCGTCAACCTTGAAGTTCAAAATGACCTGGGGGTCCATATTAGAACACTTTCCTGAGATCTAATGCTTACCAATCACTGAAAGTTGTAAATAATTCTTATTAATTTTTTATTTTGTTTTCTAATGACTCCACGGCACTTAACAACAACAAGAACAACAATGCAGATCATATAGCCTCTAGCATTTAATTCATCACCAATTCCAAAACACATATTGTTAAAACTGTGCCAACCATTTATTGGTAAATTTATATAAATATACTCACCACACATTAGGTTATAGACTTCAATATTTTCAAATGGTTCAACTTCAATCTTTTCTTTAAAACTGGGCCCATGTGCCAGAAAGATAGCCTAGGTGGTAAAAGACATTATTAATAACTGGACACCAATGAAACCCAAAAACAGATGTTGGAAGAGACACGATTTTCCTCTCATGACAATACTTTAAACTTCTCTAAGGATTTCTTTTCAGGATGTAAAAATGATTTCTACATCATCTCCTTCTGTGGTGTTGGATTAACCCCAACTAAATATATTCTTTATTGCATTGTATTTATTTCTACCTGTTCCAACAGCACTTTACTTGTCAACAGAATAGGAAAATACAAGCAACAGAGAGAGGACAGTCAAGAGCAGCACAATTTCATAACATTTGGACAAAATACATTGGAAATTTGATATACGGCATCATATAGCCTTTTCATATAGCCTTCATATGATGGCTAATACTTTAAAAAATTAAATTTCTAAGCATTAAATTTTTGCACCAACTAAGTCATTTATTTCTAATATGCATCTCCTCTTTATTTCTAGCATGAAGAGACCAAAATAGCTTGCAGTATAGTTCATCAACATTAACCTAGTTACATTATTTATAACAAATCTAATTGTTTCAATGACACTTAACAACAACAACATAGTAAAGCATATGAAAACTTCTTAGTCATACCCAAATGCCTTTAGGGAATGAGTTGCTGGGCCAGGAGGCTTAGGACCAAGACAGCTCAATTGGCGCAACATAATTAACAAAGAAACAACCAGGGTCTTAAAAGTTTGTGAGAGGCAATCTATGGTGCAATTATTGGCCTCCCTTCCCCACTCTCACCACAGCAAAAAAATTACAGACACATAGAAACAATTAGTACAAAGGGCTAATGAACCACAAGAACCTAAGCCTCTACAACATTGAGACCAGAAGATATATATGGTGCTTGGCTACTATTACCAACCACAATATAAGTTCATGGATAGAGTAAGAGAAAAATGTGGAAAACACTCAAAGTCATATGAAGACCAGGCTCACTATTAAAACCTGGTCTTTCAAATTGAAACCAGTGAAATCCTGATACTGTGACTCTAAATTAACCTTAGACCCGGAACTGAACTCAGCCCTGGGGCTCAGTTTTCTGGCAGACAATAGACAGGAAAATACAGTAACACCAGTGAGACGTACTCCTTAGAACAATTAACCATAAGCCATCCAAAGGGCAGCATTTGCGCAGGGAAAACGTTCAGAGAGTAGGACAGGGTAGGAAAGGAAAACAAATGGAAAAAGAGAGCCAGTGGAGGAAGTAGGATGCGTGTTGTTACATTGAAGGGTTGCAATCTTTGTAATGAAGCAAAATGTGGATGTACTTGATAGCATGGATCTAGTGACCTAAACAAAATGGAGTCCGTTTAGTCATTAGGTCTCAAATGAGGACCTTGCAAATGAGGAAGTTTATAAATTATCTAAGAAACGAGAACAGAACAAGGAGAACAGGACTGCTTAAACCCACCCAGATAATTATCTCAGGAATTAAGCAACTGCGACCCTAAAGGTAAAATGTTTGGGGAAGTTTTATTGATTTATTGTTCCCTTTTCCCAAAGAATGCTATCTTGATGCTAAAATAGAGTAAATGTATATCCAAATGTAACTAACACTATATAATGTTCCTGCTCTTCATAACTGGCAAGATGGTCTTGAGAATTTACTCTCCGTCCTCCAGACTGCTGGCTTTCTGTTAATAAAACTGGGATTGGATCTCTCCCCATCTCTGTGATTGACTATAGTGACAGGCAGAAAGCCTTAGTTTTGCTTTGGCAACATACTGATTTACTCTATGAACCCTCACCCAAATCATAATTTTTATTTTTACCTTTTTAGCTAAACCAACAATGAGATTGTATATATCCCCCCACTCCAAAACAATCAGGAAACAATTTGAGGCATAGGTTTATCTTGCAGCAATTAACTCGATTACCATATGTTCATACTGACCTACTTAGTAGAAAAATCTCTTTAGATATAGAGATAAAATAATCAGGTTGCAAAAGTAATAAAACTTAACCTCTGAATCACCTACATTTTACAGCTGCATTTTACAGTGGATTCCTCCTTACACTTTCTTCCCAGGACTTCTTGCATTCCTGGTTTTATTCCTCCCTTATTCGTAGCTAGTTGTAGGCATTTTTTTGATAGTAATGTTATTACCCAAATTCTTAAAGTAAAACTGCCCAGGCCTCAGTACTTGATCCTTTTCTCTACACTCATCCCTAGGAATTTTATCTTGCTGCATATCTTTCAAATTATTCATATGCCTAAAACTTACATTTTTTTTTTTTTTTTTAATCTTAAGGACAGACTCAGTAACTGCCAATTCAACATATCTCTACTTGGGAATCAATAGATATTTGAAACTCAGTATGTCCAAATGAAGCTGTACTTTTCACCCCCAAATCCTCTGCATTCACAGTATAGAATTCTTCTAATTAGATGTCATGTTACCTTGGACATTTTGCCCTGGCTGTTTCTTCTGCCTGAGATATTTATTTCCTTGGGGATATTTCAAAGTCGAGTTCCTTCTAAGTCTTTATTCAAATATCTTCTTCTCAATGTGGTGGTAAGTACCCTTCACCCTATCTAAAATTGCTCCTGTTCCCTTGCTACCTTGAAACACTACCAATGCCCCCTTACTCTGCTCTATTGTTGTTATTGTTTATTGCTGTTGAGTCACGTCTGACTCATAGTAGCCCTGCATAGGTTTGAACCATCAACCTGGTGGTTAGCAGTCCCATGGCACTTATCACCAAGCTCATTTTGTTAATTGTCATCGGTGATGAGTCAGTTCCGACTCATAGTGATCCCATCTAAGGTTTCCGAGGAACTACTGGTGGAGTTGAAGCACCTACCTGTGGTTATCAGTCTAGTGCTTAGCCTACAGTGCCACCAGAGCTCCATAGCATACCACGGTGGTGGTGGTGGTGTGCCGTGGAGTAGGTTCCGACTCATAGCGACCCTGCATAGGGTTTCCGAGGCTGTAAATCTTTACAGGAGCAGGAAACCTCATCTTTCTTCCATGGAACAGCTGGTAGTTTTGAACTGCTGACCTTGAGGTTAGCAGCCCAGCTTGTAACCACTATGCTACCAGAGGTACCTTACCATATCATGTATTTATTTATTATATTTGTTACCTATATCCTCCCACTAGGATAAAGACCTCATAGGGGCAAGAGTCTGTGTTTCTTCAAAGATGTATTCAACAGTCTTGAACAGTACCTTACACAAAGTATGTGCCCAACAAACACTTGTTTCAAACATGCACTAACTCACCTGCATGCTCTTAAACTCATTGTTATAACCATGATTGCCTCCTCCACACGATGTATAGGGTTTACTCCTGTAGAGAAAGAAGGTTGTTACACTCTAATCCATATATGGATGTATGACCTCTGTAAACTCACGTTTAATGGAGTTTTATGTAGCTTCTGCTTTTATGAAAAGGAGCACAGAAAGATTTATTTCCATGCTAAACTCTATAATTATAGAAGAACAAACATAATGGTGTAGGAAGAAGTATGTCAGGGTCAAGAAATAGAATTCAAATCTTCTGACTTTTAGATATTGACAATTTTACAATTACAATGGCATAGCCAACAACAACAACAAAATGAAATTCTTCAAGTTCACCTGTAACTTACCTTTTGAAAACTAGTGGTTACGAATCGGGCTGCGAACCTTAAGGTCAGCAGTTCGAAACTACCAGCCGCTCCGCGGGAGAAAGATGAGGCTTTCTACTCCCGTAAGGATTTACAGCCTCGGAAACCCTGTACAGGGTCGTTCTGGGTCGGAACCAACTCGACGGCACTTAACAACAACAACAACAACAATGTTACTTGAAGTATTTCAGTGCTATATAAATAAATCTTTGGGACTGGAAAAATATGAGTAAGAACCGACTCGACGGCACTTAACAACAACAACAACAACAATGTTACTTGAAGTATTTCAGTGCTATATAAATAAATCTTTGGGACTGGAAAAATATGAGTAAGAACCGACTCGACGGCACTTAACAACAACAAATATGTGTGTGTGTGTATTCTATAAATTCAGAATTTATTTTTAACTTTTGGGAATTTCTTTCACAGATTTCCTGCCCTATTATTGTTTTCTAGTACTATTTAGAGAGTTTGTCTCTTATCTGCTTTTTGGACTCTTGGTGTGACACTATAGAATCAGTTCTGGACTGCAAACCACAACGCTGGCAGTTCAAGCTCACCAGCTGCTCCTCGGAAACCCTATACGGGTCACTATGAGTCTGAACTGACTTGACGGCACTTAACAACAATAATTATTGAAAAAAAACCATGTTAGCAAGCTAATAAATAGTTTTTTCACTTGAAAAAAAAAAAGATAAATAAACCTAGATTTTTAAAAACAACATAATCAAATGCTATAAATTTGGTTTCTGAAGGAAACAAAATAACTATTCCTCAAGATTGCCTTTAAAAATGTTTCTCTCATTTGGTTTCCAAATCTGGGCAAGTGCACATAAACATACATACACTTTACACACACACACACACACACACACACACACACATATTTGTTGTTGTTAAGTTCCGTCGAGTCGGTCCTTAGACAGAGTGACCCTGTACAGGACTTCTGAGGGACGGCTGGTGAGTTTAAACTGCCAACCTTGCAGTTCACACTGACCTTGAGGTCGAACGCAAGTAATACAGCACACACCAAGACCCCACTTATATATAGGAGTCCTGGCATATAAGATGAGGCTTTCTGCTCCCATAAAGATTTACAGCCTCAGAAACCCTGTGTAAGGTTGCAGTGTTATAGGTTAATGCAAGCT